AATGTTAAAATGGATGTTTTACAGTTTCTTTCTGTATTTGGAACAAAAGCTTACAAACGCTTCCTAAATGATACAGCGAGAAACCGAGAACATTCTCAGCGTTTTCCATAGCATAGAGACTTACAAGCAGAGGGCCTGACTCGGACAGACACCTGTGTTTTACTTTAAGCATGCGAGAAGCTCACGTTGGTTTAACTGGTGTTGGCTGATCTGCTTCACCGTACACAAGTCTTTGCCACATTGAGTACAAAAGGTGGAAATAAATGCCCAGATAATTCCGCTTCACCTTTTTAATGATGGAAACAAGACTTGCTGAACGATTCCCCTACATGGTCTGTGAAATGCTTTTTTAAAAAAACAAACTTAATAGAATTACTTTTACAGATGGCTTCCTTTGTAAATTAAGTCATCGGGGGGAAAAGGAACAAGCACTGCTTATATTTTGATAATTTGAATGTTTGGATACTCCCCATGTGTAATAAATTGTCTTACTGCAAGTCTGATTCCATAAATGCTCCATTGCGCCCACCTGCCACGTGAGCACTGGGAACTTCACAGCACAGCCCGAGAGCGGCACAGATTGCCACTTCCGGAAAGGACAGCACCCGAAAATGGACGTTAGTCTGACGGCTATGTGAACTAGCCAGATTTGTTTAGTTTAAGCCAGACAATAAAGAGAATAACTTTGGAAAGTGAATATACAATTGAACTGCATCCTGAAGATCCTTAAATAAGTCTTGATACTTGCTATGAAATAAACTAACTGCAGTCGCCCTCTTATTTAATTACCACTGTAACAGAAATGTCGTTTCACTGAACAGAGGACATAGTCTGTATTTAACGAACAGTTCAGTTTCATGTTGTCATTACCGCAATATGAGTATTGATTTTTTAAACAGCATCCATTGCATTCTGTTCTGTGTGCTACAGTTCAATGACAAAGGGCAATTTGTTTTTCTTCCAATTAGCCACTGTTGCAGACTTAAAAAAATCAATCTCTTACCAAGTTTCACCGCAAAATAAAATGTTACAAAAAAGTCTCTCAGAAGGCTGGAAGAGAATGAGTATGTATTGAAAACAGGAAAGTATTTTCTATTACTATAGTTCTTTATTTATTTGTTTATTTTTAAGACATTATCTGTTCAATTAATTATTCACTGGTGGACTTCTACACATCAAATGAGAGAAGGTAAAGGGAGTAATGTAAAAGCCAGGCAATTCATGGAATATACCTGTCAGTTCTGAACAGAAAATACTAAATTCAGTCTGGGTTTAGAAAAAGGTGCAAAGCTCTGACATTTATGAGGATTCACCTGCTTAAGCGAGGCTTAGTCTGGGCTAAGAAATGAAAACTAGGAAGCTCTGGATTAGCAAACGAATGAAAAGCTTTAACATATAGAACAGTATGAATACATGGCTACATATCTGTACATATATACATACACTACACACTTTCTATACACTGTACATAATGTATTTAGACAGATAGGTATAAACATATACATTCATACACACATACATACAAATATGTACATATGCATTAGCTGCTCGAGTGAGTTTTAGAATTGAACATGCAGAAATGCACAATGGTGGGAGGCACAAAATAAAGATGTATAAAAATCTATCAAACCCTTTAAAAAGAAGGAAGACAGGCATGAATTTAACAGTAATAAGCCATTTTCAAAGCATTCAAGGATAAACCTGGCTGTGAGAATTACAGAACATTATGGCAGTACTTAGCATGAACTTAGCATGACTTCACAATAAAAAGCTAAGATAATTGTGGGGTTTCATGTTTTCCAAGTCTAATATATTTAGACTTAGAGCATTTAAACTTTACAAAAAAATTTTACTTTAACTTGCAACCTCGGTATAAATAATGTCCTAATTTTTTTTGCACAAGTAATTTCCCATATACTGTTGCTAACATGGATTGCAGCAGAAGTAGGGTGGTAGCATTATCTAACAAGAGGCGTTACGGCATTTTTCATTAAACAATAAGCCTGAACTTAGTTCAGGAAAATTTACTGTTAAAATGACTCAGCAACTTCAGAATTACAAGGTGCAAGAAGTAAATGTTTTCATTTTCTCCCCTTTGCCATGCGCTCTTGGTAATTTTTCATATAAAGCTGTTTTTTAAACTATTTTTCTGTCATTCAAGATCCAGTGGATGCTGGCAGTTTGTCCTTCCTCTCCTCTATAGGGTGAGCGTGGCTCCATCTTGTTCTCCCTGGCTACAGGGCGGCACTGGGGCTGCAGACGTTTGTGCTGTTCTCGCAGCCCATCACCAGAGCACAGCGCCGCAGCCGCTGGTCTGCGGTCGAGTGGTGCGAGTGGCAAACTGCCTGGGCAGGTGGGAACCCCCTTGTTCTTTGCCTGGTAGTTCTGCTTTTTCTCTTATGGGCAGCAGTAGATGGCAAAGAACCCACGTGCCCTGCTTTTGCACTCTAAAGAGTAGCTGCAGGAGAGGGATTTAAAATAGAAAACCTTTTTCTTTTTGTTTTCTTTCCAGGGTGGTATCATCCTGTAGGTGTTTACTGGTGCACTGGTGTACGCCTGACTGACCTGCCAGTCCCCCCGCTCACACCACCCGCTTCAAACAGGGCCCCCGACTGGGACTGTTACTGCAGAAAGGGCTCTGATCACTGCTGCTCTGGCAGTATCCTCAGCCCCACAATCTCCAGTTCCCTTGTCCTGGCTAAACTGTATTCCTGATACCCTCGATACTTATGATATTTGAGCCTTTTTGAAATTATCCCTTACTAATTAAACAGCAGGTAATCAGGGAAGAATCCTAACTACCGTCTTAATTTTAATGGGCAGGAAAATGTACTGACATCTTCAGCATCTTGGATGAAATTGTTCAGGAATCTGTGGAAGTCCTGTGCACTAAACACAACGACGAACAGACCGCAGTGTTTTACATTCTCTGCCAAAGAAGCAGTGCAGTCAGAAAACAGGTTTCGCCTGGAAGTTCAGCCCTGACTTGTTTTCCGTCACGCCTCAGAAGATGCCCTTTGCCAAAGGATCCCGTGAGGACTGTGTGGAGCCCTCTGTGTTCAGCACAGGCACCTCCAGCCAGTGCTGGTCACTTGGAGGCATTACGGCTGCCCTGAGGGCCAAGCGCTCCAGATGAAGGTAAGAAGAGACTTGGTAAATGTTACCAAGTAATCACTGGTGACGAACAATGGTTTCTTGCCCCAGAGCACTTGGAAAACTATGCCTCCTTAATAATCCAACATTTTAAGACAGCTAAAATAAAGGATTGTATGATCTCTTCGAAGGATCTCTCCTTGGAGATTATTTTTTTCCTCTTCTACCAAGCAGTATAAATAGGCAGAGAAAGATGACTTTTGCACATGGTCTTAGTTCTGTGTCTCTTTAGTCCAATGTGAGTAAACTAAGAGAAAAGTAGGGGAGAAGCAGTATACCTTCTTCCCCTTGTCACAAATGCAATAAAAATCATTACTACAAAGCTCACCCAAAATGCTCCTACACATTATTGATCATTGTTCTTCTCATCTACAAGATTCAAATCCAGTTCCTTCTCAAAAGAGTTGGAAAACAAACAAAGCAGATGGAGAGTGGACATTACTGCCTCAGTATCACTCTCTGCATGCCCCAGCTTCAGCAAGCACCGAATTCTAACATTTGTCTGAATGGATTATTACCAATATACACGTGTATTTAAGTTCAGACAGATGTAATCAGATAGCTTATCACTATATCTCTACCGAGTTAAAATAGTTTCAAAAGCAGCAGAAGCAGGACCTCAAAAATTCTGAAGAGAGTGAATTTTAGGCACTAATTAGAACTTCAGTGAGATGTCAGTTTTCTTAGATTCCCTTTCAGACTGTGATTCTTTGACCCCTACTTCTGTAAACGCAAGTTTGGCATTGAAATTTGGCCTTTATGAAAACAGGCTATTTCCACACTTAAAATCAAGAAACAGTTTTTCAATAATTGTTACAATAATAAAAAACTCTCGTCCCATATTCATAAGCAAAAGTATACACTTGCAAAGAAGAAACAAAATGGAACTCATTTAAAAGTAAAGCAAGATTGGCCTGTTACCATCTTTCAGTTACTGGCAGGGGGGACGGAACAAACCTCAGAAATGACAAGAACTACATCAGCCTTGTAGTATTTTCTGCAGAGACAGTTTAAAACTTGCTTGAGCCTGCAGCTGTACTGTTCTACCTTCATTATGTTAAAGTGGCCTGAAGGACCAGTCATGAGAAGAGGCAGGAAGCAACGTTAAAGGCTAACACAGCAAGAACAACTTCGTGAGGCCCATTTCCTTTAGGCAGGCCTTTTTCTGTTGCTACCAAGCAACACCTAAACTGCTGGCAGAAAGGATCCCTTCATCAGTTCTGTGCCTCTTGAACACCTATCTTCTGTTGATGGACGTACAAGGAAAAGAGTAAGATTTCTTTAAATGAGCTAAAATAGCTTCACTGGTAGATTACACCTAGATCACCGAGAGATGGGCAGCTTCACTGCTTGATACACCAGAGGGTTGTGCTGCTATCGAGAGGGACCATGACAGGCTGGAGAAACGAGCCCACAGGAACCTAATGAAGCACAAAGTCCTGTCCCTGGGGAGGAACAACCCCGGGCACCAATACATGCTGGAGGCCACCCAGCTGGAAAGCAGCTGGGCAGAAAAGAACCAAGTTCCACGTGAGCCAGCAACATCCCCTTGCCACAGGGAAGGCCAACGGAGTCCCGGGCAACATTAGGCAAAGCGTGGCCGGCAGGCCGAGCGAGGGGATCCTTCCCCTCTGCTCAGCACTGGTGAGGCCACACCTGGAGTGCTGTGTCCAGCCTGGGCTCCCCAGTACAAGAGAGACATGGACATACTGGAGAGACTCCAACGAAAGGCCACAAAGATGATGAAGGGACTGGAGCACCTCACAGTTGAGGAGAGGCTGAGAGAGCTGGGACTGTTCAGCCTGGGCAAGAGCAGGCTCAGGAGGGATCTCACCAAAGTGTACAAACACCTGAAGGGAGGGCACAAAGAAGATGGAGCCAGGCTCTTCTCAGTGGCGCCCAGTGACAGGACCAGAGGCAACGGGCACAAACTGAACCACAGGAGGTTCCCTCGAACATCAGCACGCACTTTGTCACTGTGAGGGTGACTGAGCACTGGCACAGGTTGCCCCGGGAGGCTGTGGAGTCTCCATCCTTGGAGATATTCCAAAGTCACCTGGACACGGTCCTGGGCAGCTGGCTGTAGGTGGCCCTGCCTGAGCAGGGGGTTGGACCAGATGACCTCCAGAGGTCCCTTCCAACCTCAACCAGTCTGTGATTCTGTGATTACACTTGAAATTTAGTGCAGAGGAGCCCTACTGCACTGAAGACGGTTTATATTTTTATATGGCAGTGTTTTCAGTGGTTCCTTTCAGTTTCTCTCCATCATATGCCAAATCTTTGGATCATTTTTGTTACAGGCCTTGAGCAGCATGTGAAAAAGAAGTGTTAGGGTATTCATCACATCTATCTTATTATTTATAGCTAATATTCAAATATGCAAAACATTTTAGATTCTGAATATTTCTTAAGTTCCAGGATCTACGATCTGCTGCCCAAATTTCTGCAATCCAAACTGTTAGCCTTGGAATCAAAATAGTGTACAGTTAAAGTACTTTTTGTTAATGGCATAAGGACCAAATTAGCTTGGTTCTGACAGATGCAGGTCAGGAAATCATGCTGATGATGCTATATCAAGAAAGACTTTATAGCTTTTAGGTGATAATAACAGAACCTTAATTATGGAACTGCTTCATTTCATCTATTAAATGCATGCACAATAAATAAATGCTAGATATGGATTGTATTGTTGTTACTTCCTTTACACAATTTAGTATTTTATCTCTAAACTCCATGTAACTATTTGCAGAGTCAGTGACCACCAGAGATGGATCAGGGATAGCACTATGTGGCCTTGCATTTGTAGGGCGTGTGGTTTGCTTGTAAACAGAGCTACATGGTATTTACCACTTTGATTAGAGAATGCAATACAATGCGTACATTTTAAGTTTTATTTCATGCAATCCTTCTGTTCCCAAAAAACTGTAGTGGCTTTATTTTGTTTCCTGAACTGTTATGCTCACAGCACGAGTAAGAAAAATTAGGAAAACAAATACTGCACAGAAAACGGGGCCCTTTTACTTGGAAAAAATGGAATTTGAAATTATGTTTGCCATGAAAAAGCCAGCTGGTGTGTATTCAAATTTGGAAAAAAACATTCCAATGGCTAGTTTTTGTGCTAAGGAGTATTTCATTTGTCTTTAACAATGCTTACTTATTTGATTAAATGATTTTTACAAAATACTGAAAGCAAATTAAACTACATAATCTTTTTTGCAATGAAAAATATCACAATAATTCAATGCATACTGCATTTAGAACAACAATGACATAACCCAATAAAATTTAAATTTTAACAAAAATGGCCACAACTCTTTCCAGGGTAGCTACTTCTTCTGCTGTTGTTAATATCACAATTAATTTGTATACCCTTAAAACAGGGACTTTGCATCGGAAGTGCTGACAATCATACAAGAAGTTACACTGCAGTAAAACAGCTAGTACAAAATTCTGTATTCCAGCTGACTTAACGTTCAGAGTGTGGACCTTCTATCACATTAAAAATATGATAATTTCATTTGCTATAGCAAAAGCTGAGAGAAATGAAAGTGCAATATTACAAATCTCTGCATGCATACTGGACTCTTTGTAACACCCTTTGGAGAAAAGAAGATTCTGTTGCTGTAACAATGGAAACTGTAGAAGACTTTAATGCATCCAGAAGCTAAAATTAAATAGCCTTCTGTGTCACAATGAGTGCTACAAACGTGAGCCTCTAATGAGAATGAGAGACCCCTAATAAGAGTCAAGACTTTTTATTACATCGTAAGCCTCACCTAAGAGCTGCTTAAGGTCTTTTGGCTACAGTTCAGACCCTTAAAAGACACAAACACCAACCTGGTTGGTGTTTCTAAATAAACGTCAATAACAGAAGAATAACAAAAGTGCTGAACTTATCATTAGATTTTTGTCGCATAAAAATACACAAGTAGAAAATGCCTCTACCATACAAAATATAAAATAATTGATGCATCTAATGAGCCAGGATCAGATCACGGTATTAATTGCCATGACTTTTTTTTTTTTAACTTTGATTGTTTAAAATATTTAATGCCAATAATAATGAATTATACTAAAATGAAAGCAATGCTAGCAGCTAATAGCAAATACTAGAAAACATGATGATGGCTCATCACTCTAGACAATTAAAAAGTAGTTAATTTTATAACTCCATGGTATATCAGTCATTAACTGCAATTGTACGTGACTGAATGTAAATCCTAACTATATTTCAGTTTCAAACTGAATCAGGTTGAGAGCACTGCAAAACTCTGAGTCCTCAGTCAGGGAAGGGGAGGGTTGGGGGGAAAAATAAAGAGTGCTGTGTAATACACTCTGACAGCCAGAGGTTCTACACATTTCAGGTTTTAAGTTGTACCTTTGGCTGGATGATGAGGGTGTTCAGGCGTACAGAGAGAAGGAGTAAATTTGGAAATACAAAGAGCATCACATGGCTCTACTTGAAAATGACTGTGCTTCCAGTTAATGACTGATTTTCCCCACAATCAAAAGGCTTCGTATTAGAATAACATTTGTCATGACTCTGTTGGTCTGAACAGAAACTTCAAGGAACCCGAATATTTCATCATTACTGTGGCAAGAAACACATTTTATCTCCTAGTTTGGGTAACTCCCGCAGCATGTAATAGTCATTATGACTGCATCGTACTGTGAATTACAGCTGCACTAATTTAACAGAGTACAGCTTCAAATAATGTGGATATCTGATTTAAGAATCCACAGTAATATTTAATGCATAAATAAGAGCAAGTGACTTGTCGTAGAATAAATGATTGTCTCCTGTAGCGTTCTACATTTTCACAGAAATCACTAGCATTTTGACTAAGGACATAGGCAATTTTTTTCATTTTCCATACTCATAAGCAGGATGTTGATGATGTTGCTTTGACAAGAAGTGCTTACAAAGTGCTAGTATTATACCCTGGCAT